TTCTTTATTAATGGACGCGTTGTCGATCGGTCTAGTTGCTCGTGCCCCTTTCTTTTCTCATATATCTCCATATCTTGTTCTCTTGCACTGGCTACCTATAAAATATAGAATAATTTTTAAAATTTGCAAGTTCATGTATAAGTCTCAATCTAAATTATTTCCGAAGTATTTATCAGATATATTAATTGAACCTAAACACCCCGGTTTACGATCGTCTTCTTCTTCTCGCTTTTTCTTAACTCGTATTAAACACTCTTTTTCCAAATCTGTTTTAGCTTTTTCTGGTCCTTTTTCTCAGGAACTCTCTACCTACTTCTCTGACTACTTCTCCATCACTTGCGAAGTTCAGAGCGGATCTCAAGACCCATCTGTTTTCAAAATTCATTGAGGAGCGCGGTTGAACATCGCGGAAATAGCGCTTTATAAGCTAATTGATTGATTGATTGGTCAGTTCATCAACCAATCAATCCGTTATTAATCAACAGATGCTTGTGCAATCTTTCAAGAGCCTCTCAAAGCTTTCTTCAACATCAGGATAACTTAAACACACGCACGCACATACAAAGCACATACAAAGACACACATACACACACACACACACTCACACACACACACACGCACATACACAAATAAACAAAAACACGTTAGAAGTATGTAAACATTTCAATGTTTGCTCTTCTTTTGAAATCTTGCTAGCACCTATACTTACATATATGCATGAAATGATAATAACATAGGCACACACGCACAACAGACATACAGACACACACGCAAAACACACATACAGACACACAAACACACACACACACACGCACAACACACATACAGACACATACACACACACGCACACGCTATTGAGTTTACACCATTTTGAAATTTTTTCATAACTTGAATTGTTTAAATGTTCAGCTTCTTTAGTGTCTACATGTTAAGAATTCAATTTCATTGTAATAATAATAATAATAAAAACAATAATAATAATAATTTTTATGTTAAGAATTCAATTTCTTTGTAATAATAATAATAACAATAACAACAACAACAATAATAATAATAGTATTTATGATAACAGGATCAATAATAATAATAACATGGAGTTGATCCAGAGTTAAATTTTTTTCCTCGCTGAAATGCCTTCCTATGCAATCATGATATGTTTATAATAATAACTAAGGATACATAACAAAAGAACGCAAATATAACCACTTAATGATTTAATAATTAACAATGTTTAGTTAGTTGCCACGTACAACATCATGTATAATGAAATGATGATATCTGGATAATATTATCAATAATATTATTATCAATAATATTGTTTGAAGTCATTTTACTTGTTTTAGCTCATTTTAACGTGTATCTATTGTTATTTATGATTTTATACAATATATATATATATATATATATATATTATATATATATATATATATATATATATATATCTTGGTAATAGATCATAATTTTTACAATATTCTATAAATTCATGCTTCCTCATTCGGTAGAATTTATAGAATATTGTAAAAATATATATATATATAATATTTATTATATATATATATATATATGTGTGTGTGTGTGTATTTATTATAATTATTAATTTATTACATTATAATTTCATTCACCATTTAATTTTTACTTTTATTCATGTTTTATTTAATTCGGGTTATTATAACGAAATGAAACCGGGTTATTATAATGAAATGAAACGATACGAAACATTTTATTGTTCCTACCCTTTCTTTGAAGAGCTTGTACTGGTGAAAATAATAAACAACAGTGGCCCTGAGGTATACCGCTTGTAGCATCCACCCAGTTCGAATAGTTTCCTCTGATGGCCGCCCTCTGTTTTCTATGGGTCGACCGATTAGTTAACAATCAAGTAAGTTTCCTCCTACTGCTGCCTCTTCTAGTTTTATGCGTTTGAAAAGATCGTTCGTAATAATAATAATAATAAATTGAAGTTTTTGAAGTGCTTGCGATGAAATGAAATGAAAATTTTGTGGTACCGAGTAACGACGTGGCAAAAGATAATGATGACGATGGTGACGCCACATGGATGTCACGAGACAAAGGATGAAACGATTAGGATGACAATGAGCAAATGAAATGATTTATTTATACGTGACGATAAAAGATACAATGAAGATGATGGAGTGATGACGTAAATTAAAAAAGAACAAACGACAACATGACGTCATCGTCGTTACCACGGCCATTATATTTTGTTGAATTTCATTTCAGAGCAATTTCAATTTTTGAAATTTTTCAATTAATTCATTTCGATAAATTTTTCATTATATTTTCAACCATGTACATACGCGAAATACACATATTAGTTTATATAGCATTATACATATATACAATACACGTATATGTGTATATGTATTTATATGTTTATTATATATATATATATATGTGTGTGTGTGTGTGTTTGTGTGTGTATGTGTGTGTATACCCATACATATTTATTTGTATAATTTCATATATTTTCATATATGTATCACAGGAATCTGTCTAGCTTCTGGTGTAATGAGAACAAAATTAATTTTGTTTTTGTTTCTATAATAAAGTTAATAATACTAATAACAATAGTAATAATAATAATAATAAATAATAATAATAATAATTATTATAAAATATTAACCACAGAAAGAAAAATGATAATAACGATGAGGTAGGCTTTCTTCTTCTTTCTCGTGCCTTATCCTTTCATGACATTGTCGACCATCGACCTCCACAAAACCCGATCTTTAACACTTTACAAGAGTTGAAATGTGGTGATATTCAACAAGTGACACAAGGGCTTCACGAATGTTATTCGTTGTTCACCGCGATCTCTTCTCCCTGCAATCTTTCCAGTATTTGTTAGCATGATTTGACCAAAAAACTTTAACTTTAATTAATTAACTGCAGTAATTTCTTTTTTCCATAACCGGGCTGTTATAATATATCCTCGTTCGAAGTATAGGCTGCGTGTGTGAATTCTCTTATATGTGGTGTTTCTTTCTAATTTGTTTTCTTGGTTCATCAAGTGGGATCTTCTAAATTACGCGATTTAAATGGTTCATACTTAATTAATCACTAAACAGTAATAATAATAATAATGGTAGTTGAAATAGTAATAATCGCAATTATCATAATAATGGTGATGATGGATAAAATTTACAGGGCACCGCTCTTGTGTTTAACACGACTTAAATGGTTTTTAGTGGTCGCTATTCACCAAAACATCACTTATTTATTATACATACCCGAGAAGATGTTTGTTTAGCTGTTGTACTCTACAGTGCTACAATGATCACACATCCACGCACATACACACGCGCAAACACCGAGTTTTTTGAGAACAGACAGTATTTCAACCTGGTCTCATTGCGCAACAACGACGCGAGACATTTCTACAGTCTGAGGCAGGCAAGCGTCGACCAAACGTTAATGTAGCATTAGAGTTCCTTTGGCAACCGTAACAATGGTGGTGGTAGTAGTAGTAATAGTAGAAGTAGCAGTAGTAGTAGTAGTAGTAGCAGCAGCAGCAGTAGCAGTAGTGGTGTTATTAATCATAATAGAATAATAATCTACTACATAGCGATTAATAATTGCCATTATAATTTTAAAATGATTTGAAATAAAATAAACGTACAGTCTTTTTCTAAAGTCTTAAATCTTTTTCAACAGATGACACGACACCGGCGAATGTGTTTTGAAGTTAAACGCTTGAAAAACTCTGTTTACTTGGAGTTACGTTTTGATGTTATTATTATTATTGTAATATTTCTATCACAACACAACCGTATTATTATTTTTATTATTAAACATACCAAAGTTATTAAATTTTTTAATGAAATAATAGCAAAATCGATATGCACATTCATTATAGGAGTGTTTATAATGAAGTGGTTGTTAAATAATAATAATATTCCATTAAACCGAGTTTTATGATTAAAATATTATTATCATTAAATTAATTATTGTTGTTATGATTATTAATATTATTGTTATTATTAATATTAGTATTCTTATGGCAAACTTGTCGCCGTTGATTAAGTTCCCTACAAAATAATTGTCGATCAAGGTCTGTGAAACGTAGATTATTTAAAATAAAATCCAACCAATCACATCAAGTCATCAGTATTTTAATTTTCTCTATCCAATGAAATTCATCCATTCAGTCAAAGTAGGCATGTCCGACAAGCAGCCGGCCAACAACGCCCAGCCAATCCACTACAGTACTCTAGGAAAAATGGGGCCGGGCGGTAAATTAGCATATTAATGTTCTAAAAAGTTATAAAATAATAAAGAATAATATCAAAATGATGATAAACTTAAGTATCGTCTTGAATTTATTTTTCCACAAATAACAACGAAATACATACTTCACGTGGCCCACATGCATTCGAGTCCAGTAGCTGTGAAGCAGAAGTGAAACATTTTACCACTATTCTATCCCGCCATCAATCAAATTTTTACATACCATCTATTCAATTAAAATGTAATTACACAGTTAATTAGTGTATATTTTTTAACAAGAAAAAAACTGCAGGTGTGATGCCAGGAATGGGAATAATGATGATGCCCAAGCCCGATCCCATTCCTGGCGTGTCCAGTGGTATGGAGTATTTGGTGGATCTCAATAAGATCCTGGTGCATCAACAAGTTGAGGTGGCAGAATGTTAGGAGGAATTTTCAACATTTCATCATAATTTTCACCATTTGATCATCGTTTTCATCGTCTTGTACTCTCATTTCTCGTAATTACAAAACCGCTTGTATTAACACCTACAAATCACTTTCCAATACAACATAAATCGAAACTTTCATCTAGTTTCTTGTACGAGGTTCAAAAGTTAATTTCGACGTATATCTATTGGAAAAGAGAAATAGCTCGATTTGAAGTAGCAATTCTGTACTAAAAAACCATAAACTCAATGCAAGAGTGTATTTTACTTCTGAAAAAATCAAATTTTGTTATATAAAAAGTTAAAATTACTACCGCAATAAACATTTGACCCCAAAACCTTAAACCCCCAGTGCTTTCAGGTCAAGAAAGTTGCAATAAGTACGTAATCTTAAACACCCTGGGCCAGCAAATATACTTTGCACATGAAGGTAGAACAATTTTTTTAACATTATTGTCATTTGTATAACGCTCTATTGGCTATACAGACACAAATGAAACGAATATACATGCTTATGGCATGGGAATATATGGAAAAAGTACAATAAACAAAAGTTGCAATTAAAAAATAAAAGATTTCGGCGATGTAAAGATAGCCGGCAAACATGCGAAAAGCCGTAAAAAATTGGACGAACGAATGAACGAACCAGTGATAGCAATTAGGAAAACTGACACTTTATAACAAAAAGCCCAAACAATTAAAAGAAATTTTATAAAAATGTTTGGCTAATTACAATGACTTATCTAATAACTTATGAGAATTACAGCATTAATCACTGATAGGATTTCAAAGGTAGGAGTATTAATTACAATTACAATTATCGATACTTCCAGAATCGAGTCCCTGCTGCCGGATGTGCTGTGGAAATGAGAGATCATTCGTTATGCATCTTTTCGAAAATTCTGGAATCGTTAGTACTTCGTAGTACATCATTTCATTGAGTTAGTACAATGTTTTTTTGTTATGTAAGTTGCAGCAAAGGTGAAGTTACTAAAATTAGCAACATTAGTAGGAGTAGCTATCTAATAATCCTTTATTAGTTTTAATAGTTATGAAACTCCCAGTATTCTAGCAACTGAACTATCAAATATTTTATCACGACAACTGTCAAAGAGTTACGTAGATACAACTGGATAGACACAACACTGTGACTGCTGACTTCAACTGCCAATACAATCCTGCCATCCATATCATACACTGTGTGTGTGTGTGTGTGTGATGCGTTGTTGCTTCACGCGTATTCACGTACACTCTGCGCTCGTTTTGTTGCTACTTCTAAAATATAATTAAAAACGAATGATACTGTCAAACCGATGAAAGACAACCCAAGCAAACTCAACCGACCCAACTTCATTCATACAGGAAGCCATAAGGTTACGACGGAACTACAAATGTTGCGCCAAATGTGCCTGGTGCACCTGCATGCCCTGCTGTGTCGAGGAAATCTCGGTGGAGGCTCCTGTTGGGGAGATAATTGGATACTGTAGACAGGGGTCAACATTTTTTGTGTCTGTCCATTTTCACTTTTATTTCTCTCTCTCTCTCCCTTTCTCTCTTTCTTTCTCTTTCTCACTCATACACACACACTCTCACACGCACACACGTTACAGATGTAGTTTCATAAGTCCGAAGCTTGAAGTTCAAAATAAGAACAATGAGTTGATGTATAGTATGCGTGGTCCCATGTGCTTCTGTCAGAATAACTGCTGCCGCAAAGACGTTAACTTTTCTGTATGTAATTATTAATATTACTGCTACTACAATACTACTGCTACTACAACTGCTGGTGCTTCTGCTGCTGCTGCTACTGGCGCAGCTGCTACTACTACTAAAATAAACACAACACTAATAATGCAAATATGTTGACATTAATAAAGATAATAACGGCAATGAGGTCTGTTTGTTTCCCACTTTTGGCGAACAGATCAAAGATACAAACAGAAACATAATTGGAAAAATTAGCAATGAGTGGAGTGCTACCAATAGGGAGAGGCACAGCGATGCCGACAACTATTCAGTCACTTGTTAGTCAGATGAATGAGTGAACGAGTAGGTGAGCGATTGAATGGAGAAATGGATAGAAGGATAAGTGAATGAATAAATTGTTGAATTAATGGATTGAAAGATGAATGAATGAATGGATGAGTTAACGAATGATTGATTAGCGTTATAAAAAAATGATTAAATGGCTGTTTGATTTGTTAGTAAGTTTTGTGGTTGAATGAATGAATGAATAAATGAAAAAATAAACAAAAAATTGATCATTTATTTATTTATTTATTCATTCATTCATTCACTTTTTCATTTATTCATACATTCATTCCATCAATCGTTCAAGTCTCCAAGGGTATGGATGTACGGCACAAAGTTCTCCTGCTTGGCGCAGTCTTTCTCATCGTATGTAAACGTGTGATTGGCTGAGTGACTAAATGAATGAATGAATGAATGAATGAATGAATGAATGAATGAATGAATGAATAAATGAATGAATTTCAAAATCATAATATATTTAAAATAATCCACGCAATGAAGGATTTCATGTTCTTTGAAGATGAACCAGTAAAGATCGTTAAAGCAAAATCAGCAAAATCTACAAATAAATAAATAAATAATAACAGCAATAATAAATAATAATAATTCATTTAACTTGATTTTATTGTGTGAATTTTTTGAAAAATTTGAAATATTCACATTTTTGAGGCGAATTTTTTGGTTTGAAGATAAGAAATTAATTTTATTTTCAGTGATTGAGTATGAGAAGAATGAATGGATGGATGAATGAATGAATAATAAATCTCATAACTTTTGATATAAATTCTAATTAACTGATAAAAAAAACACAAAGTAAGCGCTTCAATAAAAAAAATAGAAACCCACACACATGTAAACATCAAAAATTTACTTACTTAAACAATTCATTAAGAATAATCATTGTAATAACAATAGATTAATGTTCATATAAAATCTTTAATTCATTTACTAAACTATCTATTAACCATTTAGTCCATCTGCCTATCATCATTCCATTTGTTCATTCACTTACTCTTCTTTGTATTCATTCATACATACAATTAATATATCAGCATTCTTGCCTGCTAAAAATATATGGCCAAATAAAGCAATGAACAGTCAACAAAAACCAACTTTACTACAAATTTTTTTTCTGGGTGAATAAAATATTTTTTGATCACAGAGCATTTTTCCAAACCTCCCTATCGTCATGATTTAAAGACTTTCTGTACTTTCTTTCCATTTTTCTACAGTATGCCTTGGACTTTGAACAATCTCCATCAAACCACGGCGTCAACGAATCATCTCGACTTTCAACCACGTGTTCTGGAGCTATTATGTCCGCAATTCTCTTCAGTTCATTCACAAAAATCTCTATCAGCGTTTCTGTATTATCATCTTGGCATGGCCCTCCAATCGGGGATTTCGAAATTAACAATGCGAGATTTTCTTCATTTATGCGTCGCCAGGATCGAACCATTTTTTTACTTCTCGTACCTATAACTTGATTGATTGACAAACAAACCTGAATTAATCCATGATCTGATAACACTCCACTGGGAAAAATCAAACTATTAAAGATAGGAAAAGAGCGAGAAGTAACGATCAAGTCCAAAACACCACCTAATTCATGCGTTGGTTCGTTAATCCTGTTAACCAACTGAAAACAATCGAAAACCTCATTCAGTGAGACTGTGTTTGGATCATCTTTTCTCTCCATATGAACATTAAAATTTTATCGATTTTATCAATCGTTGTTGCGGGAGAAATCGTTTTAAATGTGACAGTTTAAACACCACGACGCCAAGCAGCACTTGATAATCTCGATAAAATCATTCTAAGTCAGGAAGGCACACAAACAACACTCATACACACTCACACACACACATTTTCTCTCTCTCTCTCTCTTTCTCACACACACACACAGACACATAAACCAACATATAATCAATCATACACACGAAACAAACTCATCATTCTCATCAATAGACAAGAGATAAAAATTAAACCTCAAAAACACAAACCACAAAACGGCATTGGTTGGCATGGATATAATATATTATAGATATATTATATATATATCTATGTTGGTTGGTTTAGAATTATGAAAGAGCAAATACGAAATAAAAGATTTGATTGATCGGAAGATATATCACGTTAAAGAGGGTGATTCATTTTAAAATTCAAACTTTTATCATTTAACTAATTTCTTATAACGTATCTTACTAAAATTTTGGATGGAAAAATATTCAACATTTGAGGCAGCATTTTGAAGGAGGTTTTGTTCAATTTTTTTACTTTTTGTTTAAATTTATACTAAATAGTTTTTGGTTTTCAAGTTGGTAGGTAGAAGGTATAATTATTAAAGCAGATTACAAAATGGTTCAGGCAACATCTACAGCTTTTTTTTCAAATTTCTATAATAATTTGTATTTGATGTACTTTTCTTCAACAACAAAGGTTGTTGTATATAATGCTTTCTTTTAAAAAAAACTAAAATCACATAATCAAACTTTTGTGGGATCGTCAACGCTTCTGGGAAATCAAATCATAAACCAATAAGAACGCACAAAACACTAAAAAAGTAGACATGCCAATGTTGAAAATTCTACAAAAGCACAAAACGCGACAAACAAACAAACGAATAAAGTACACACAAATAAACAAACAAACAAACGAACGAACGAAGAACAAACAAACAGGTGTAGGATCACCCGGCCGAGGTTCCGGTTCCACATAAGAGATGAGGACAAAGAGACGTACTACACCGTCAGAGGACCCTGCTGTTTCCGTCAGAACTGTTGCCGCAGTGCTGACATGAAGTTTCCAGTTGGTTGAACATTTTTTCGATTAATGAAATAAAAGAATATATAGATGAATGAATGAACGAATGAATGAACGAGTGAACGAATGGGTATACAAACGAAAGTACATGAGAATGAACAAATGGATAAATGAATGACTTATATTCAACGTGTTCATATCATCTACATCGCTGACATAATTTTAAATTAAACTTTCTTTCTTTCTCTTTCTTTCTCCTTTTTTTCTCTCTCCCTCTCTCTTTCTCTAAGATTCTAGAGAAAGATGATGAAGATGAAGTTGAGCAAACAGTGGAATGGTATTATGAAGGAGGATTTTACAAATGCTGATAACTTCTATGCTCTTTGCAAGTTGTTGATTGATTGATAAGTTGATCATTTTGCTGGTTATTAATTAACTCACTCACTCACTAACTCACTCACTCACTCACTCACTCACTAACTCACTCACTCACTCACTCACTAACTCACTCACTCACTCACTCACTCACTCACTCACTCACTCACTCACTCACTCACTCACTCACTCACTCACTCACTCACTCACTCACTCACTCACTCACTCACTCACTCACTCACTCACTCACTCACTCACTCACTCACTCACTCACTCACTCACTCACTCACTCACTCACTCACTCACTCACTCACTCACTCACTCACTCACTCACTCACTCACTCACTCACTCACTCACTCACTCACTCACTCACTCACTCACTCACTCACTCACTCACTCAAATAATAGTAGACAATAAATAAAATTCAACTAATCAAAAAAAGTTCCGTATGATTGTGAGGCGGAAATGAAAGCGGTACTTCTTGCTATTATGTTTCTTATTGTTAGTTCATCAAATAAACTAATTTATTCATTTATTTATTATTCAAATTAATAAAAAAATATATTGAAAAGTTGATGGATTTTTTTTATTCCCCAAGGACTTAATATATCTAAGACGTTAGAAAAAGACCTTGTAGCGACAAAACTGATTTAGATGATTTATTCATTTATTAGTCGTTTTGTTTAAGTATGTATGTATATTCATCAGAGGTTTAAATAGATGTTGAATATTATTTATATATTAGTAAATAACGAATATTTTAATAATATGTTTACAAATATTAATAAGTGCTATATAGAAAACAAATATTCATAAATCGAAAGTAAAACAGTATCGTTTAGTCATTTGAAATTATTTTCTGTTATAAATTCGTGGTGTATTAAACTATTGGAATAAAAAATAAAAGAAAATATTTGTCATTAAAATTTGCTTTATTTGATCTGATCACAGGCAAGCATGGTAAAATGTTTCCATAAATTATAAAGAAATTAATCAATGATCCAACTAAACAATGTCAAATCATTAATTTTGTAGGTTCATTGTTGAGAATGTCAGTAGGTCAAAAAGAATCAAAAGCCATGACTGACTTAAAACATTCGGCTGGCTGATCGATAGCGAAGAGAATGCTTTCTGATGCAAATTAACGAAGGATAGCTAGGAGGAAAATTTTTTTGTGAAAATATGTCTAAAGTCGTTGTTTGGAGATAAAGAATTAGGATGTGCAAGGAGTTCTGCAGCCTGTCGTATGTATTTATATATATGTATATGTATATATATGTCGTATGTATGTATTGTCTGTATGCTACTGGTGGCAGTTGTGGAAGAAAAGAATACTTTTTTGAGTACGTCGCGTGTGAGAGAATACACAATTGGAAAATAAATCGTTTATATCTGTGGCAAGTTTTTTTTTAGCAGAGCATCCAAAATTATTTTGAAGTTTTTCTTTTCTATAAAATAAGTAATTGCAAAAATGTTGAATCTAGTTTTAAAACAAAGTTTCAGTTGAATAAATCATTATTTACTAATATAAAAGTAAGAGTTGAACGTGATGAACGTGATTGTGAAGGTAGCACATTTAACGACCATTCATCTGCTCGCGGCATCAATCTTAAAACTCGTATCATCGGACAAAACATTCAACAAGTTGGCATGGAAGGGCTTTCCACTTTGTTCAAACTCAATCAATAATACTCTGCTCTCTCAAAAATTCAATGTGACTGCGGAGGAGTTTAATAGCAGAAGATTTGTGAAAACATGCGGCATCCATTGCCAATTGATGAGTCCGTCCTGTATCGCATTTCAAGTAAACGTGCTGAAGTCGGTGAATGGTGGTTCATACAACCTCTATTGCTACGGTTTCGACGACCTACCCAGCGACATCTGCATGAACCTCAACGACAACTGCTCCTTCTTCCTGGCTGATAGTATGTGCACCCAGATGTTTATTTTTAACCATGAAGAGTTTAGAATTTTGTAATGAATTGCCTTACTATTAAATTTTCAGAACCGATTTACATGACCGTTTCTTCTTGGGAGTACGGTAATCCTTTACCGCAGTCAACATTGGTCGAAGTTGTAGGCGCTGGCAAGTACTACACTTCAATAACTTACCCCATTGGCGTGAGTACGTACAAGCTGAACATGCTGGCCAGATCGCTCTACGACTACCACAGTTTCAATACCTATAATGATCCAAACATGGCTTTGTACATGAAGAACTATTTAATGGTTTTATAATTAGTTCTTCATTCAGATAGATTTAAATATAGAAAACATTTAACATAGGGACTATGAAAATAATTAAAATTAAGCCTTTCAAACCAATTCAAACACCTACACAACCAACCAGAATACGACAAACGGGACAGTAATTGTCGGGCAGACAGGGGACGAACCGGCGAGTGCCATCCAGGGAGTAGCAGACTACCTGAAGAGTGTCAACCTGGACGTGAGCACGTTGCAATTCAGGGGGAAGTGGGTGTTTGTATGGCAGCAGGGAGCTTACGGGAAAACCAAGTCACACATCTTTAATGGATATGGGCTGTTCACCAAACAATTTCTCATCTGCAACTTGGGTTTGACCTGTTTACATTTTTTTGTTAGATTTCAAGGTTGAGACAAGTTTTTGTCCTTAATGCTTCTTTTATTTAAGATGTTCAATAAAAAAAAGAAGAAGAAAAAGAAGTTTTTGAAAATTTGAATTATTCCGTCATTCATAATTGTATTTAATGTTTAATGTTAATTAACTTTTAAACATTTTTCATGCAATCTTGGATGGACGGATGGATGGATGACTGGATGAATGCAGCCAGCAACAAATCAGATTGGAGAGGTGTCAGAATACGGACCATACCTTAAATGACGTCATCAACAGTTATTTATGATGTAAAAGTGACGCGTGTGTTTCATTTGAACTACAGAAGCAAACACATGTCAACAGTTTCAGTCTCAATGAATGATAACATTATATTAACACCTGTGTGTTGTTGTTATTATTATAACTTAGGTCAACAAACAATTATATAGTAGATAGTTAGCTGTCTTATGCACAACGGTTGATTGCATGCAGGGGATGGCGAAGATTTGATAAAATAAAATGGAAAACGTTGTTATACACTCGCTTTCCTAATTTTTAGTAGCCGCTTTCATTTTCAGATCAAGAATTTTATTTAAAAATTTTAAAGTACCAAAATAAGATTGTCCTCTGATTGACATAATTTATTAAATTATTCGTATAAATGAATATTTAACAAGCAATGTACGATTTTATTCTGTGAAGCAGTTAAACATGCCGATTGCTAATTTATAAAACATGCACATGTATGATCCGTAATTTGAACACCATACGGGGTTTTTTATTTATTGACCAAAAATTTATGTTAAACCATAATAATAACCACAGATCACGGATAAAATTACGAACGATACTGAAACATAAGCACGATTTTTAGAACAACTACTTGTTGAAAACAACAGAAAAATAAGTGCGAATTTTATGTGCTATCAATCCGTAAGATATGAATAAAAGACAATCGGTCGGAAACGCAACTCTGTCGAAAATATTTGAGGCAGGATTGACTCTTCCGAATCTCAAATGGGATTCGCCGTATCCGCTTCATCATTATGCAGAGGAGATCTTAAATATAAGACGAAAAAAAAATATAAAGACAATATTTCTTGAATAAATTAACGCTAAATGAATAGAAGCATAAAAATATCTTGAATAAATTAACTTTGAATAGATAAAAAAAGATTTCTTGAATAAATTAACTCTGAATAGATAAAAAAAAAATAATTTTTGAATAAATTAACTACGTAAATGGGTGGAGATAAATTAATTCTTGAATAAATTACTGGCAGAAGAAATGGTGAACAAAATCGTTTAAATCAATTGGGCATTCATTACTGTGTATTTAATGTTGCATGAATCAGAAAATTATTTTCCGACAGAAATTTTTACCCCATAAATTTTTCTTCTAAATGTCTTTGAAACGCGAAACATATTTTAAAATAAAATTTCACTAATATAAATTTGATATTTCATAAATTACAAAAAGATTTATACGATGTATGTTGAGAAGAAAATTTTTATAAATATTTCTATTACCCTTTTTGCTGCAGTGATCTTAAAAATTGTCTCACCAGACCAAATATTTAGTAAATTAATGTAGAAAGACGTAGCACTACGTTCAAATTCAACAAATAAATCCCCGAAATTCTACAAACCCGGAAGAGTTAGAACGGAAGAGTTTACTGACAGAAAATACGTCAAAATGTGTGGATTCCCAATGTCAGATGTCAAGTGAATCCTGCTTTGCATTTTAAGTGAATGTGATAGAGTCTGTTAATGATGATGGTGGATATGATGTGTTTTGTTATATTTTCAATGACATGCCCAACGATATCAGCATGGTTGCTTCTGACGAGTGTTCATTGTTCGAGGCTGACAATGAGTCAGAGCTTCTGCTCTTTATTTTATAAGTGATGAATTTTTCCATACCTCGTATCAGTTTGAATAATTAATTTTTGTAAAGTTTATTCTATGGCTGATAGTGGGTCTTAATTTGGTGTTTATATTTGTTAATAATTTTCAGAGCCGATCTACATAAGCATTTTGTCATGGGGCGCAACCGATACTGATCAACCAATCACTGTATCTCAACCCCCAGTTTGATTGACATCGTGGATGCAGGTAAGCTCCACCCTCCATTATCTTTAAATAGAGGTGTGAACACGTACAAACTGGACATGCAGAGCACATCCCTGTACGACACCGGTAGTGATGATCCAAGCACGGCTCTGGCACTGAAGAACGCGGGACTCTATAAACTATCATAAAATATTAATCAAATAAAGCATGATCATGAAAAATGACGTGAAATGATTGGAACCTTTTCAGAACTTAGCAGACGGGAGCATGATCGTTGGACAAACAAGCGACGAAACGCAGCAGAACATTGCCGGAGCAGCCGATTACTTGAAGAGCGTCAACCTGGATGTCAGTAGGCTGCCGTTCAGAGGCAAGTGGATATTTGTTTGGCAGCAGGGAGCTTACGAGAAGACACAGTCACTCCTTGACAATGGAAATGTCGTCTTTTCTAAACAGTTTGTGATAAGCAATACAGGTTTGTGCTAAATTTCAAGTTCCTGAATTTTCACTTTAACGTTTTTTGTTCTTTATTATACAAATTTATTATGCTTAAAACTGTTTACAAGTCAGTTTTACAGCTAAACTTTTGCACCAAAAAGGCTGTATCATCCCAAAATACACATCATACATACACAACTTTTATTTTTTACCGTTGTTTAATGCACGCACTGTTTTAGGATTCGTAATAAAAAATTATTTTTGGACGTTGTAGTATTGAAATTTGTGTAAATTTTAATCAGTGTTTATTGCTAGCCACTTGCAGATATTGATATAAAGAGATATCCATTGAGATATTGTTTACTCAAATGATTTTATTGTAATAACATTTTAAAAATCTCACTAACTTATTATGATTGAAAAATTTAACTTCCTTTAAACTTAATTTAAACTTTCAATGTATCCAAAATTAGACAAATTTAATTTGGACTAGAAAGTATCTAATTGGCTAAAACCTTCGCCATCATATTATCACCAGTTTACTCAACAATGCTAATAAAAAAGGGTACAGTGATGGTGACGTTAACATTGTTGTTGCACGATTATGATGTTGATGGTAGGACGAATTTTTTAATGATGACGAAGGTGACGTAATGACATTTAATGACGTAATAACATTAAACGATAAATGACATTTATTGACGTAATAACATTAAAACTAGCAATACATCTGAATAAAACATTCTATAGACAAAATATTGAACGCAATGACAATGCAGTAAGCATGAGTGAGTTTCTGAGAAACAAGAAACAAGAAATTAATGAAGGTACATTTTTGCCTGGTTCATTCTTATGCGATCCTAACTGTGGTACGGTTGAATGATATGCACATAAAGTGAATAAGTGAGCATTTTTGTGTTGGTCCTTACATAAGAATTAGATAGACGGAGTAATTTTAGTAAATGAATTGCTATCTCAAAGTCACTAGACGTAAAAAAATAAAACTTTTATCTTTAAATGAAAAAAATATTGATTTTATTAAATTGTTGCTAGTGAATTATTAAATTCAGAAATAGTTTTTCTAACTTTGATCAACCCAAAACAAACATCGTAAAGGGAATAAAAATAAAATCGAGATGAAGATAATGCAAGTAGTCTTGTTTATCTCGTCTGCAAGTGTTGTGTTCCTGGATGAAGTGTTGTCATTGGGGTTAGATCAGTCACAACTTTCCAGCAGAGTTTACCACAAATTGCAATGGAAGAATATTCCAATATGCTCGAATTCAAATAACAAAACATTGCTATATAACATGAGTGCTCTTGCTGGAAACCCTTTTAATGTGAAGAAATACGTTCTCAAGTGCTCCATCCTGTGTCAGGTGTTTTCTGAATCCTGTTATGCTTTCCAAGTAAGCGTGAAGTCAGATGGTGGTGCTGCTAACGATGTTTTTTGTTATCAGTTTAACGATTTGCCAGTTGGTGTGTCGAAATATCCTCAAAACAACTGCTCCTTGCACGTGGCTGACAGTGAGTAGCACAAATTTCGTTGCTATATTGACAGTTGACATTTTTATTTTCACGTTTCTAATGAATATTTTATAAATAATTTTATAGAGATTTCAATGAAAATGTATTAATATTTTTGAAATTTATTAAAATTTTTTGATAGATATTAAGATTTTGTTCACACTTGTAGAGCTCGTATTCCCGAATGTTTCTTCATGGGGCTTCCTGGATAACACGCCGAATCTTACGGATTCCAACTTGATTGAAATTTTGGGAGCAGCCAAATATTATCACATGAACATAGGAAGAGGAATCTCCGTGTACAAACTTGATTTGGAGAACGTTTTCTTGTTTGACTACCACCATTTCAATATTTTCGCCGATGCTCTTGACGCTCAGAGGATGAAGAGCTTCTTCGTGGTTTGTTTGGATTTTTGGCTTTATAATCTGAAATTGAAATTGTTTTGATAAAATCATGGCCATCATGTTAGCCATCCTGATTATTTCCTTCTCAGAATGCACCAGATGGCACGATAGTTGTTGGTCAGACGAGTGATGAACCATCATATGGCCTTGGACCAATTGCTTCCTACCTGAAAAAAATCAATTTGGACGTGACTAACATGCAATTTCGAGGAAAGTGGGTCTTTCTGTGGCAGCAGGGGGCATACGAAAAAACCCTTTCCTTCTTGGATAGTGGGAAACAACTTCTCACAAAGCAGTTTCTAATTTACAATCGAGGTTGTCGGTGTGTGTGTTGTGTCTTTATATTTTGGACACGTAAACTCACGCTCGTGTGCAAACATATTTAAAACTGTTTTATTTTCCGAATTTCAACACAGGCGTGTCTGTTTATTTAAAATGCCTTAAGACCAAATATTCACTATATAATTGATTTATTAACTATACGCATGCAGATCAGGTTAAACTTGCTAAAAATGACTAGATCATTCAACGGTCGTCATTCCAACACAATAACCAATATGTTAAATTTCGAATTTTTTTTGCAAAATCATGTTTTAATTTTTAACAGCGAGCAATAAGTCTAATTGGAGAGAGGTGAAGATGCAGACCATATCCTGAGTTGTGGGATTATGCACCCAACTGTCAAACTAACATCAACATACGACGATGATGTGCACAATAAATTTACTACTGGGGTCTTACTGGGGTCTTACTGGGGTCTTACTTGAAATTTTTTTCAATTACTTTCTGTTGTTTTCTCATATTTCCCATTTATATTTTTTATAAAAACATCGGCAATTAAACTATGAGCGGCGTGTTTATTAATCTGTGAAGCGTACCATGGATATGTTTTCGGTTTACTGGACCATCCCCTTATTGTTAAGAAATAATTTTTCTTTGTGTATGGTATCTAAAACTATCTACAATAATATTCATGCTTCATTTATTTTGTTTTATTGAAATGAATATTCAATAGTTGATAAAATACAAATTTTCCGGTGGCGTTGTTATTAATTATTGTTATTATTAATATTATAGATGAACCATTATCGTTGGAACGGTCACTTGACATACGATTTTCATTGCAAACATGCAACAGCTGACACCATTTCTGACTGGAAAGTTGTCCGAATCCGAATTCAATAACATCAACAAGAAGATGAGCATAGGCCACTTATATTTCTAATTTGCGTTTGTGAATTTTTTTGCGAACAATTTTTATCAGCCTTCATGAAAATATAAAAAAAAAAATTTAGAATTGAATGCACTTCAAAATCTTAGCCCATCGTAAATTTAAGAGACTACCAATTGAAACCTAAGCAGTAATGTTAGCGTTAATAAATTCACATTAAAAAATGAAATAAAATAAAATAGATAAATTTTTTTTCTACATTTTTACTACAGTCAACAAAACTTCAGCAGTTTTTTCTGACAAACTCTTCTGTTTGAAATGAACGCAGGCGCATAAAATGCCAACAAAACGATCATTCATTTTCACTCAACTCTTTCAAGCTCTCTTCCGAAAGATCGATACATTCTTTCAGATTTTTGCAATAAAAAAAATTTGTATTATGAAAAATCAATTTGTTTTTGACAAGTATAAAAATTTGATTGATTGAAATTTCTTTATAAGCATTTGAAGTTTGAATAACTAACGCTGGCATGGGAATTTTTTTTATAAAATTGAAACGATAGTTCGTGTTACGCAACATTTGCGTTTAAAATTTTTTTCAATTTCATTTGTTGAATGATAGAATAAGTCTGTAAAATATTTTTAAATAGCGCGTATGATTAAACATTGTTTGAAACATAATATTAAAAAAATCATTGTATGTGAAAACATTTTTTTAAAAAACTGATAGAAAAATGTTTCCGTCCACCAGTTTTATGATTTATTTCCTACATTTTACTGCATCTCCATTTTCCGCATACATTTCACCATCTTCAAATCGAATCTACTACAAATTAATGTGGAGAACTTCTCTGCTGTGTTCGAATTCAAGTGAGAAAACATTGGAATTTAACAAATCCGTAGCAACCGTACAGCTGATAGATGACAAGACTCATGTAGGGAAGTGCGCGCTCAAATGTCAGACGTCAAGCAAATTTTGTTTTGCCTTCCAGGTTAACGTAATGAATTCCGCATATGCTGGGAGGTGCAATGTGTTTTGTTATCATTTTGCTGATATGCCTGATGCTATCTTTAGAAACCTCTACGATAACTGCTCTTTGTACTTGGGCGCAAGTAAGTGGTGATTATTAATGAAAGTATGATTAAAAATATTTTAATGGATTTTAAATATTTCGTTCTTTTTTCAGAACCTATTTACATGAACGTTTCATCGTGGGGTTTTAACGACCTCAATCGCAACTCACCGGGTTCAAACGCAGTCGAAATCTTATGGAAAGATAATTATTATTCCTCAGTTGGCACAAGAGGTGTGTTTGCGTACAAGTTGAACATGGAAGACCACACCTTGTACGATTCCCAATACTTTGCATACTACACAATAACAAGCGACGCGGCACGAATGAAGAATTATCTTCAGGTATTTCTTATTTAATAGTAATGAAAATCAACAAATTCATGACGCCGCAATATTTCCTGCTGTTAAAATATTTCTATAAGCTCTGTGATCCATTTTTTTCTGTAATCATTGTTAGCATAATTTTCACAAATTATTTCTGACCCTCCCTCACGATCTCGCCTCAACAGAGTGCCCCAAATGGCACAGTTGTGATCGGTCGAACAGGTGACGAACCTTACAGCAACATCGCACTCGTAGCAGCCTACCTCAAAAGTGTCAACTTGGACGTGTCCAGTCTGGCCTACAGAGGCAAGTGGTTGTTTGTGTGGCAGCAGGGTGCCCCCGAGAAAACTCAATCATTCATTGACAGTGGGAAGTTTGTGCTCTCCAAACAGTTCCTTCTTTGCAATATTGGTTGTATGATGTTTCCATCGTGTTGTTGAAAATTAAAATAATTTAAATTATCTAACTTTTTAAAAATACTAAAATACAAATAACATTTTTTTTAATAAATCAAATTTAAATAAATAAAAATTATATGGTTTAAAGGCATTCCTTTATGTATGACTGACTAATGTGATAGGGCATGACATATTTTTTAAATCTTAAATCGGTAAACACAAATCTACTTGCTGGATTGCAAATTCAGTAGTTATTGATAACATATATAGTTTGGATTAGTAATACATATAAGAATTCAGATTCAATAATTTTTAAAATAAATTATTAAATATGTAAATTACAAGTTATGAAATATTAAATTTTATTCCCGCCACAAACTGCCAACAACGCAGCTGCTAATAAGACGGATTGGAGCGGTGTTCGAATACAGACAATAACCTGAATGATGTCAAAATCTTCATCATCTGAAATCATGATGAAATCCATCGAGAAGTTAAATTTAAAACTTTCAAAAAATTTTTATTTTATGATTTGGTGATTTATTTTAAACGCTGTTAAACTTTTATTTGTTTCTCTGGTAGCATGAATTTTTATAGAGTGCTTTTTTTTACTGATGTTTATACAAGTTGAATAATTTCAATTCTTGCCCGAACATTTTCGTTATTAATTGGCATGATAATTTTCTGAACGCTCACAGTTTTGATTATTCTGAAAAATAATATTGACATGTTTCAACGTGTTTCAAGCAAATATAAATAATAATAATCCATGTTGCGTTTCATGATTTAGGATTATTAATTAATGATGAACATAAAAACTCAGACGTAAAACTGCCGACAAGTAGAATGAATAATCGCTCCATCAGAACAATGCGATAACCTTTAGATGCTTTTTATGTTTCCGGAAATAAAAATATTCTGAAATAAAAAGAAAGTTCTAAATTAAACTAGCCATCAATTGATATTTGGTACTAGAGAATCTTGTATTGTGTTGAAGACGGCAAGCAAAATGTTTATTGCGTGCTACAGCGCATTTTCTATTATCTCCGCCAGTCTTGTCTTTCCCACTTTCTGCTATTGAAATTGTTAATTGTGGCAATCACGAGAATGAAAACTGCATACAAAACAGCAATTTTTTGTCTTTGAAAAGCAAAATGTTTTTATACCAATGCTATTTTTCATAATATTGTTGTTTAAACAAAAAATACCAAAAGATAAGCAATTTTAACATAAAAGAATTGCAAAATAACTTCTACATAAATTTGGAAATGATAAATAAGCTTGGATATTGAAGATCTTTGACAATCTAGTACACGCTGTTTCTGAAGCTTTCAAAAATCCAAAACCCCAGCCAACCAGATTCACCTCATTAAATCCAATTTCAACACACGCCATGAAGAATTTCTGCCATAAAAGTAATGTTTTTTGTCTGATGCTGTTGGCACAATTGGCACCATTGATTTTTCTGTCGGCTTCAGGCAGAACCTACAACAAGTTAATGTGGAAGACAACTCCCCTCTGCTCCAAATCAAGCAACAAAAGTTCGACATTCTTGACGAGTAACATCCCTCTAGAACTAATAAGCGATAGAAAATTGGTTGAAAGATGTGGATTAAGATGCGAAACATCAAAGGAATCATGCTTTGCATTTCAAATCAACGTTACAAAGTCGGCGAGCGGCGATGCGTATGATCTGCTCTGTTATCATTTCAGTGGCTTGCCCGACGGCATGCACAAGGACTCTACTGAAAACTGTTCACTCTATGTTTCTGATTGTAAATTTTATGTGATGTTGTTGGATTTTCAATTTTATCAATAGAAAATGTTGTCTAAGACTAGTTATGACTATATTGTCTTTTTTTCTCTTGTTGGGTGCATAGGAACGTTCAGTTCGCGCCCTTTAATAATAAACTATTATTATTATTTCAAAATAATTTTCATTAAAAAAAACAAAAAAAACGAATATTTATTTCTGAGACCCTGCCTACATCAACATCTCGTCGTGGGCTGGTAGCGACGCATCTCGATACTCAACTGATCCCAATCCATTGAACGTGAAAGTGATGGGTCATCAATGTTATTACAGCACGAACAGGGGGGTCAACATCTACACACTCAGTCTGAAAAACTCGTTGCTGTATGATTTTAGAAATTTTGATTTTTACTACTCAAGCACCAATGCTCTGGCAATGAAAGATTATTTCATGGTTATTCATAATTATTCTTTTTTTTTATTCGTCTACATTAAAATTTTAATAGTTTTTCTATCGTTAAGCTTTTTATGATTTTTTATGATAAAAAACTTTTTATAATTGAAGTAAAAAATTATTTTGTTGCTTAAACTATTTTTTATCCAATTATTTTTCATATTTTGTTAAAACTCCGCACTACTACCATTCTTCTTTACTCTCCAACTTTAACATCATAACCTTTACCACCATAATCTCCCCTCTTATCGCCTCAATCTTTTCCACCCCGTTGGTTTGTGACCAGAGTGTAGAGCTTGGAACGGTGCTGGTCGGCCAAACGTGTGACGAACCATCCTCAAACATCGGATCAGTGTTAAGTTATTTGAAGAGTGTCAATCTGGATGTTTCGAACCTGCAGTACAGAGGCAAGTGGATGTTCGTGTGGCAGCAAGGTGCTTACGAGAAGGCTCTGTCCTTCGTTGATAACTCGCTCAGTCCACTTCCTAAACAGTTTATCGTCTGCAATACAGGTTTATATCTGTGTGTGGGTTTGTTTTTGTTCTTTGCTTGTGTGTATGCGTTTGAGAGCTTGTTTGTGTGCATATGTATGAGCGTGTGTGTGTGCGCGCCGTCTGTTTAAATAATTAACATATCGTATATGTTTTGCATTCTAAATGCTATCGCAAAAACTCCCCAACCATCAATCAAACGCCTATGGTTGTATAGAGTTCGATCTTAATTGTTGAGCTAAGACTATCAAAGGCCTGGCGTTTTATGGTTGGGAAACAGCATGGATGTTACAACCTTAGCCATTCAACAGAACAATTGCAGCTGAATAGTTTCTTGGAGCTAAACACAAAAACTATAATGATAAGCTAACAATTTAGGCCTTAAAATAAGAACGACCAGTGTTGTGTCGTGTGTTGAATTATGAAACTTTCAACATTTTAATATTTCATTTACTATATTATTTCTCATTTAAATTAGGGAAATCAATAATTTGAAATTTAAACAAATTTAACAAACACGCTGAAGCATAACTAAACTAAAATTATTTTCCTCACACACACGCACGCACGGATGAAGCCAACAACAAATCTGATTGGACAGGGGTCAGAATGATGATGCTACCGTAAATGACGTCATCGTAAATATTACAATCCATACACAATTTATGAAAAACATAGTTTTGGATGAATTTGATGTTTTATAAACATTATTTACAAAAATTTTTTTTCTGTGTTATTCTCGCATTAGATTTTTTTTAGCAATTTTCTCCAAAGACAACTTGCACGTTTCATATACTAAACTATAACATACTCGAAACTATTTCTTTTATTCAATGTCAGTAAATCTTTTAAAATTAAAATTTTTTGTGGGATTATTGTAGTTCCAGAATTTTAAATTCATTGTTGTCATCGTTGAACGCTTGAAATGTTTTTCCTAATTAACGTTTAAAATATTTTTCGTGGTGAAACTAAATTTTAGTTGAGTGCAGTGAGAAAATTGTTTGTCTAGTCTTAACAAGAAATTTTTAAATTAAATTTTTTAACAAATTTTCGTTTTAAGCAGTTTTTAATATTATGCATATAGAAATTGTTAAATACCAAACACATAAATGAGTCAGTAAGGTTACTTTGTAACAGTTGGAGATATCATATTTCATCGCCATTTCAAAAAATATAGATATTTTAAAATTATTCCGTATTGAGAAAAATTCTAGCATGTGAATTTTAATCACTAATTCACATATTTTCAAGCAAACACTGAGTGTTACAAGTTTTATTTATAATCTACTAGAACCGAGTGTGGTTTTTCAAGAAGTTTCCGTCAGAATCACCATCCCAAAAAGTGTAAACTACGTGATGAATGTTTATGAAATGTACAGGAATGGAAGCATGCAGTAGAGGAACGTTCACGAGAACAATGCTTTTTTAATGGTGAAGAAACAGCTGAGTGAGATTAATCGATAGGAAGGAAAAATGCTTTCAACCATCCTGACGCCAGCAAAAATTGCTGATGCACCGAGAAACGCACATTCGAGGCGTTGGTGCATGTGCCACAAAATCTCATTAAGATGACTCGCTTGCATGGCTGTTCTGTTTAAAAATATATTTTCTTAAAAAATATTTTTGTTTAAAAATATTTTTTGCTTAAAAACATTTTTTGAGAAGATTTTTTCAATTATTGTATAAGGCATTTGATAATATGAGAATAAATTCATGGTCGGATTAACAGTTGCTTCAGAAATGTTGAAACTTGATACGTTTACACACCACACAAGCCTCAAATTCAGATAAAGTTTAAATGATTGAAATAGATTTCTAATTTGAACCTTGCAACTTCATAAGATGTATTTATATTTTAATGTAATGCTGATAGTTTTTACGAGTTTGATCAATGAATCAATTTGGTCGAATTTATTGTACGGTAGGTTGAAATGGACAGCTCAACCCCTATTCTCCAACTCTAGCAGGAAAAATTTGATTTATCATAAAAGCGGCAAAACAGGAGGGCAGCTGGATAGAAGAGGACACGTGATGAAATGTGCCTTCCGCTGCCAAGCATCGAATGGAGCATGTTTCGCATTCCAAGTGGATCTGATGAAGACGGAAGTGTTTTGCTACCATTTCAGTGATCTACCTGACTCCATTTACTACGTGAATCTTTCCGACGATTGCTTCTTGTATTCTGCTGAAAGTATATGATTATAGACTATTTGAAATATATACGGCAATAAATGTCAATACAAAATGCTAAATAGTCTCGAAAAGATTTGAATTTGAATGAATTGGAAGTAAATGAGATGATCAGAGTAGAAAGAGATGCAGTCAATTAAAACAATCGGCAGATAAAATTAAAAATTGAAAGTAGTTATTAAATGAAAAGCAAATTATTCTTAAACAGGCGAAATGTTAAAAATTATCTCAAATAAATTGCAATAGAATAGTTAACCGGTAGCTCGCAATAGAACATATTAGAGATAGTCATTTTAATTCTAAAAGGGTAAACAATTTTTATACCGCTACAAAACCAAACAGAGAAAAAATGCCCTGAAAACTGGAAAAATTAAAAATTGAATAAACCGCCAGAGTTGGTGTACGTGAACGTGTCGTCGTGGGGTTAGTCGTCGTGACGTCATCGATTACGTGCCTGACCCGAACGTCAACAACATCATCGGACCTGGCCAGTACTGCAAACAAAACACGAATAGAGGAATCAACTTGTTCCAAGTGGACATACAAAGTTTACAGATCCTCAATTTCAGAAATTTCGATGTATTGAATCATGGGGTCATTGTAACAGAACTTCTGAGGCAGTATCTCCTGGTTAGTGTAAATATCTTCCAGTTATTACTTCATCATCAGCCCAGTTATTAATTTTGATGAAATTTATTTCATCAAAATTAATATAAACCAAAACAACTCTCTGATCAACATGAACACTTGCAACACCATCAACATTCACCACACGTGATCAACATCCATCACACCTCATCGCCAACGGCAGAGTCTCGAACCTGGGACAGTGCTGATTGGTCGGACATGTGATGAAGCCCGGACAAACCTCGAAAAAATATTTCCTTACTTGCTGAGTGTCAACCTGAATGCTACCGACCTGGTTTTTAGGGGAAAGTGGATATTTGTTTGGCAGCAGGGCGCCTACGATAACACCCTTTCCTTCATTTTCAACTTGAACAACCCCTTATCCAAGCAGTTTGTTTTTGCCAATTCAGGTTTGTTCTTAGACGTCGATTTTGAATGTTTAAATTAAATTTTAACAGAATTAAACAAAGGAACGATTGAAATTTTAAATATTTATTAGCCAGGAACAAGTCAGATTGGATGGGAATGAGATTTCAAACGATCGCGTGAAAAACATTGGCTGGCGTAAAATTTTATCTTTACTGACGAACAAATTTTTTAAACTCGAAATTTGTTTTGTGAAAATTTACTTTTTTGAGATTTAAACTTTTTAATATTTCAACTTATAAAACTTTTTTTAGGACCAACACCGAGCCACTTGTTTGTTTTTGATTAGCCAGATAAATTTCCCAAATAAAAATGAATTATTGAGAACGCTGTGCTAAAACCACGTAGGTATAACACACATATCAAAAGCTTTAGACCTGTTAAGAAACCTTTCAAACATTATATACTAATTTTGCTAAAAACAACTGACTATTACAAATTTTTCGTTATTTTTAAATAAAAACAAATTATTACGTTTCAATTAATTTTATTTCTTCTAAATCAGATTGGTTAAATGTCTGCAAGAACCATTTCGAAATGCCCGAAGGTTAATTGATAGAAACTTGTTAACGAAAATAAACTAAATAAATGTTAATAAGAGAAGAAATCAAGTGATTCAGCACTTTTAATGATGTCATTTATAATTGAATATATATTAATCCTGATGAATCAAAATAAATCGAAGTTTCGAAAGTTTTTTAAAATTGTGATAAAATCTTGCTAAAAAAATCGATAAGCTCAGTTATTATGGAGTGGCGGTTAATAACAAAATAACATATCACAGTTATGTGGATATCACAAAATTGGATTCAGCGTACATCGAAATGAATAAGTAATTTTATTGATTGATTGTCTTAACATTTGGAGTTAAACCACACAGATATTATGCCACTTCAAAAATATTGATGTGACTGAGGACAGAAAAGCATTTATGTACGCTTCTATTGATTCAAAGACACTGGCATCAGTGACGGATCTAAGAGGGGGTGGGTGTGGCCACCGTTGAGAGCAGCATTTGTATTAAGAGTCTGTAAAACTCAGGTTCGCACAGAAAAAACACAAAAGGTCGCCAGTCTTATTTTGGCCACTCTAACACAAATTTTACCTTCCCATCAAAATTTAAACATTTTCAAAATTTTGGCTTTCCCTTCAAAGTTGTCTGGATCCGCCACTGAACATTTCACTAATAACTTGCTAATAAAAAAATTATTGCCCATATCAGAGGCACAAGAGTGTTGTTGAATCAATTAATTAAAACGTTTGAAACCCGATCAGTTAATTATAAATTGACCAATTAAATAGAAATTACAGTTCATTAAATTAATTAGTAAATCCTTTAAAGTTGATTAAACATTAATTTAACTAGCTAACAATGCAAACAGATTATTAAAACATAAACAACTAACAATTGTCTCAACCGCTTTTGAATCGTACTTGCCAAAAAGAGCAACAACATCAAACCATCTATAAACAAACCCCGTAGAAATTCACCCTGCCCCATATTTAAACAGACAGGCCCCTTATTTATATCGGCCCCTCCTTTTTAAGCCTCCCCCATTTGAGCACCATTGCAGGATGTTTCGACCAAAGATGATGACGAAAGATGCGCCTGCCAAAGTCGAGAAGACGATCGGGAAGGTAATCACTGTCACTTTGACGGCTGTTCATCATTAATTAATTAATTAATTAGTTAAAGAAATAATTGATAAGTTAATTAATGAGTTAGTCGGTATACGCAGACAGTAATTGATTGCAGTTTATTTGATGTAGTAGTTAAATACAAATAAGCAAAGTATAAAACTATAATGAAACTGCTCAAACTAATACACAAATTTTAAAATATAATTTGAAAAAAAATACTGAGTAGATATTTTAGAATTTATGGCAAAAAATAACAATTGTGAAAAAAGTTTCAGCAAGTTACATGAACAAATATTTAATCTCTATGGCACAAGAGTCAACCTACCTTCAGCATTGGTCGTCGTATTAGTCGGGCTCCTTGTAACATTTAAGCCAGAAACTATGTGTGATTGTTTTCAGAATTCAATTTATCAACGACCAGCATTCAAATCATTGAATAAATAGAAATAAAACGAAAAAATATTAATTCGCAATAAATTTAAACGAATAACAGTATTAAAATAATAAAAAATAAATAAATAATTAAATAATAAAAAAAAGTTGAAATAATTACCCAATGTAGTGTTAAGCCACGTCATGTTGGGATTTATGGTCGTTTGGGATGACAGCCTTGAAGATGTTGTCGACGACGACGATAATGAACCAGTCACTGGTGATAAATATTTTGATGAGTATGTTGACGCTAAAGTGGTTCCTATTGTTGTAGCACCGTCTAATGTAGCCTCTGTCAGAATTCAAATTTCACAAAATTTGCGATTTCAAGTTTTTATAAAAGGTATAGGATTAGTAAAGATTAGATTAGTGTAGCGTTAGTGATTATTTGAGTGATGTTTTGAAACAAATTTGGATGAAAAGTTGAGTATAAACGTACGAATGAAGTTGCAGCCGGATCCGAAAAAACCATTTTTGCAAGTGCAAAAGTAACCGTTAACTTTGTCAACACATTGCGAAGTGTTCTTATTGCAGGGATCATCTTTACAATCGTTGATATCTACAAATTGAAAGGTATATTGTTGTTGTTGTTGTTGTTGTTAGTAATAGTGTTGTTGTGGTTGTTGTTCCCATTGCTTGCATCAATTATGAAATTTTGTTAATTGCGAAAAACAAAAGATCGGATATCGTAGTTCAAGTTTTAACATTTAAAAACATAAAAATTTGATGAATGAATTTTCCTAAAAACAATTTAAATCTCAAATAAATAAAATTTAGAAACTGAACACTACCTATGCCACAGAGACTGCCTTCAAATCCGGTTGCACACTGGCAGGCAAAGGTTCCTGGAGACTTCTCATCGGTTCCGTTGACACACAGCCCATTGTTCAGGCAGGTATTCAGTCTCGGCAGGACACCAAAGTCGGTTAAATCGAACAAACAAGCGTCTATGACTGCATGTGAAAAATTTGATATCTCGTTATATCCAGATGTCTGATGTAGAGGATGTTATGGTTTCATTCTTTCTTAAGAGTAAGGATATAAAATATGAATTTCAACAATTTAGAACACCAACAAAAGATGAACCACTTACTTTTACAAGTCAGTCTATTACCACTTAGCACCATCGGTTCATACCACTTCTGACACTCGCAATAGTATGAACCATTCGTGTTCGTGCAGTTGCCCGCCCCGCAGATGTCCGCAGTTTTTTTGCATTCGTCAACATCCTGGTCACAATCGGGTCCGGTGAGTCCATCGTTAGCGCATGACAGACAACCTTCAACGTTTGAGCAGTAGTCATCTGGGCAAAAGCAAGATCGACTGCAGTTCTTGCCGTACTTCCCTGATGAACAGGCTGGTTGTGTCGGGGTGGAATAACATTTTCTTATCCATCATCTCAACAAACAGTCTAAACTAAACTATTAAAAATACTTGATCACGTCAGTTGCATAAACTCAAAGACACATAAATTGACCGGAAAATTAAAATGACCAAACATCGTAGACATCGTTAACTGACCAACGCAGTCTCCAGTGCTTTCGAGTCTGAAGTATCCATCCTTGCACGTACACTCGTATGTGCCGTTTTTGTTGGTGCAGTTGGACGTGATGTTGTTGCACGGAGGAGATGGAAGATGACACTCATCTATGTCTGAGATAGCATCGAACATTTTAATCACATTAATTAAATTATTTAATAAAAATGAAAGATTTATTTAAACAAAAAATAGAAACGCAAAATCGCAGATCTTTTTTGCGTATTAGATGTCCATGATTTCATCGGAACTCTAACCCAAAATGAGGGATTGCATAGTGATCAGAGCGTTGGAAAAATTTTAGTCGCAGTTGCTGTTGCATCAAGAACACTAACACCATTTTTTGGTCCGAGACCTTCCTTTGATTTAATAAAATAAATGCATTATCAGAAAAATAGTTTTTAGAACAAACCTTCGCAAGTGTTACTGTCGTTCTTATAACCCATTTTGCACCCACACGTCACGTTGTCGTAACAGAAGTGACAGCCTGGAGAAGTAGAGCAGCTACCTGGAGGGAGGGTGGATGGGTGGGTAGTCAACAAATTGGAAACCAGGAATCAACAAATTGAATGAAAAATAAATTCACAGTCATAAACTTAAATACAATTTTATTCATCTAATTTAGTGGGAAACTAATGATGATGCATTTAAAATCCTTACTTGTACTCAGTTGATCGCACTTGTTTGAAGCACTGTTCAATGAATGGCCAGGGAAACATGAACAAGTGTATGAACCGATTGTGTTCACGCATATCTGATCGCAATTGCTCTTCTGTAGCTTACACTCGTCTATGTCTGTCGGCGATTTTAATACGTTGGTTTTTTTAAATAATTTTTTGTAAATATTAGTTTCGTCGTGCTTTTCATAGTTTAGTTTACTATTTCTATTATTATTTAACTGAATATTGATTGAAAATAAATGGAAGCAGACAAAAACTGCATTGAAATCTCACCTTCACAGATGGACTCGTTCCTGACCGTTACCTTACTCTCATATCCAGCGTTGCAATCGCATCTGTATCCGCCTTCTAAGTTGATGCACTTTTCTGTCGGACTGGTACAGTTGTTGCTTGTGTCGGAGTTGCATTCGTTGACGTCTTTTTTAAGAATATATATACGTGGGTTATGTGAGTTACGCACCGATGTAGGTAACGCTCAAGCTCTTAATAAAATTTTTAACCCCATTTCTAACAATTAAGTGAAAAACAATCACAGACCACTAATTGGAAGAAACATTCAAACAGAAAACATCATCAATGGATGAACCTACCGAAACACCGCTGCATGTAATCAATATAATATCCTGATGGACAGTCACTGCACTTGTAACCGATGAACGGAGTGGTGGTCCCATTCTCTGTAGATCCGTTTGTTTGTTGCAGCAGTTGCTTCAGCTGCGTGCTGCTCAAAGAGGTGCAGTTCCGGTCCTTTCCACACGGATTGGTGAAGCAATAATCCGGAGATTTCTCGCAGTGGGAACCTTGAAGTGGAAAATAATAACTGTCGAATGTTGTTCTCAAATTGAAAGCAAGCTAGCTATTAGCGGTTGTCTTGAATGCATTTTTTTATTTGTTATTTCTTTCAATTATAATTTTGATTCAACTCTCAGCTGCATAATACTCTACCACAATTAAACAAAGCAGATCAATAAATTTTATATTAATTGCGCCAAAACAAACAGCTTTTACCATTAGGTCTACATTCGTTTTTTATAGAACCTGTAAATTATTGTACATCCCAAAATGAAAGAACAGCAAGACTGCTTACATTTCAAGATATGAAATTTTCAACTTATGCGAACCAAACTAGCTCATCAGAGTTGGAAAATAGTTAGACATAGAAAACTTAAAAACATTCCAACTTTACTGACCAGATGCCAAAAACTCGAAACATTGGCAAGCAGCCTCCTGATAAATGTTGGAGTTTGTTAAGTTGCTGTTGA